TGTGTGCATGTGTGCCACGGTGCACATGATCAGAAGACAACTCTTGTCAATTCTCTCCTTCCACCATGTGGGTCCCGGGGTCGAACTCAGATCATCAGGCTTGGGGGCTGAGTCTGGGACTTTTCTATTCCTTGGCAAAAACATGTATCTTTTTCCTAAACACATGGAACATCTCCAGGTGTTTGGTTCAACCCTGAGAGGACAGAGGGACCAAAGGGTTTTACCAGATGCTCCTCTGGGTGTAGTCTGTGTGGAATGTTGTTTAACCTAGGAACGGACTTCTGCCTTATCACCAGAAGCATTACTAGGTAGTGAGGACAGAGAGAAGTGAATCTCAGTCATATAGCCAAGAAACCAACAGTGTTATGTACAAATGAAGAAAACTGACACTAATTTGGGAGGTCCATTAGATTCATCTAGCTTTGATAATCACACACCAGAAAGCACTATAAGAAAATCCAATGTCCAGGCCAACCTCATCGGACACAGGTTGAGTATCCCTGATTCAAAAATCTAAAACCTGTTCAGGACTCAGTGTTATATGCCTATAGTCCCAGCACCGGGGAGACTGAGGTGGGAGGATCACTTGAGCCCAGGAGTTCAAGATCAACCTGGGCAACATAGCGAGACTCCCATCTCGAGAAATCAAAATTTGAAACCAAGTGTGTCAGTACACATCTGTAATCCTAGTACTCAGAAAGTAGTAGAGAATCAGAAGTTCAAGGTCGTGCTCAACTACTTAAGGAGTTCCAGGCCAGGTTAGGCCAGAGACCCTGACTCAAAAAATAAAAATAAAATAGGTGCAAGAAAGATGGCTCAGCTATTAAGAGTACTGGCTGCTTTTGCAGAGGACCTGGGTTCGATTCCCAGCACCCACATGGCAACTAACAAACTATCCACAGCTCCAGTTTCAGGGGCTCTAACGACATCTTCTCACCTCCACAGGCACTGTAGGACACAGGTGTGCCTACCTACACACAATATACTCATACACATAAAATAAAAATAATAAATAAAATATTAAAAAGAGTACTGGCTGCTTTTGCAGAGGACCTGGGTTCGATTCCCAGCACCCACATGGCAACTAACAAACTATCCACAGCTCCAGTTTCAGGGGCTCTAACGACATCTTCTCACCTCCACAGGCACTGTAGGACACAGGTGTGCCTACCTACACACAATATACTCATACACATAAAATAAAAATAATAAATAAAATATTAAAAAATAAAATTTGGATAAGGGTATATTCAGTCTGCATATGTATTCAATTTATAAGTTGCAAAGCATTTTACATCTGTAATCAAATTTGAACTTGAGAGAAAATTAGAGATTAGGAAAGTAGGCTCCAGAGATTTTTTTTTTTTTTTTTTTTTTTTTTTTTTTTTTTTTTTGTCTTTTTTGAGACAGGGTCTCCTTGTAGCCCCATCTGGCCTGGAACTCACTATGTAGACTAGGCTGGCCTCGAACTCAGAAAGATCCCCCTGCCTCTGACTCCCAAGTGCTGGGATTAAAGGCATGCACCACCATGCCCTGTGGGTCCAAAGACTTTTTTTTAAATATTTTATTATTTTTATTTTATGTGTACAAATGTATTGCCTGCATGTATGTTAGTGTACCTGTGATGTACCCATGGAGGTCAGAGGAGGGCACTGGAGTCCCCTGAAACTGGAGTTACAGACTGTTGTTAGCCGCCATGTGGGTGCTGGGTATCAAACCCAGGTACTCTACAAGAGCAGCCAGTGCTCTTAACCACTAAGCCCCAATTTTTTTTTTTTTTTTTTGAGACAGGGTCTCACTATATACTGTGGGCCTGGAACTTGCTATGTAGACCAGGATGACCTCAAACTCACAGAGATCCACCTTCCTCTGCCTCTCAAGTACTAGGGTTAAAGGTATATGTGACCACATCTAACAATAATTTTTTTCAAATGTTTTGGGTTTTTTGTTTTGTTTTGTTTTGTTTTTGTTTTTGTTTTTTGGGTTTTTTTTTTGTTTTTTAAGACAAGGTCTCCCTGTGACCATAGCTGACCTGGAACTTGCTATGTAGACCAGGCTGGCCTCAAACTCACAGAAATTCACCTGCTTCTGCCTCCCAAGTGTTGGGATTAAAGGGGTGTGCCACTATGCCCAGCTCTTCAAATGTTTTATTTTATTTTAAATTTTTATTGATGTACTTAGAAGTGTATCTGTGTAAGTATATGCTACATGTATGCTGGTGCATATGGAGGCCAGAAGATCCTCTGGAGTTGGAGTTACAGGTGGTTGGTTGTGGGCCACCCCGTGTGGGTACTAGGAACAGAACTCAGGTCCTCTGGAAGAGCAGTGAGGACTTTTACAGTTAAGCCATCTCTCCAGCCCTCAGAGACTTTTTGTAGTAAGCTTTGGAGACACTAGGTTAGTGGAAATATTTGTCTGGCTTCAGACTCCTCTCTCCTTTCATCCCACCCAATGACCAATGTTATGGTCATTGTCTCTGAGAGAACTGTAGTCCAGACCTTTATGTTGAGTTCCCCAAGGCTCCCTCCTCTGGCTTCCCTGTGGGTACACAGGCACAGCCAGGGGAGTCTCCACTGCTCTCATCTTCACTCACCACCTGGAGCTGACCACTTCCGGATCCCTTGGGAGTTGGTCCACACTGCAGCACCCTCACTCCTCCTACCCTGGCCACAGCTGATCTCATGCTGCCTCCAACAGCTCGGTAAACTGTATCCCTGCACCCAGTAACCTGTATCCCTGCACCCAGTCTAGTTCCTAGCATAACCTAACCTAACCTAACCTAAAATAACATAACCTAGCATAACCTAACCTGTGTCCCTGTACCCAGTAACCTGTGTCCCTGCACCCAGTCTAGTTCCTAGCATACCCTGTACAAAGAGAGTTGGGGTCCCCCACCCCATCCACGCACACATGAACAGACCTTCTTGCTGTCCTTGGCATAAGACCCAAATCCTCTCTGTTTGAGCCATGCCATCTCCCCCAGGCTCACATCCCCCACTTCTCTGCAGAGAACTTCAGCAGCAGACAGGAGCATTTGCTGTCCTTCTTTCTTTTGACACAGGGTCTTTCTATGCAAAAGCTTAGACTGGTACTCTCGATGTAGCTCAGATTGGCCTTGGACTTACTTCCAGTCTTGGTTTTGACTGGCCTCCTAGATGCACTGAGCTCTGGGAGTTGGGAGATTTCTTTGTGTTAAAAAAAAAAAAAAAAGAACATTTTGGTCATCTGACATGCATGATTACATACACAGTGACTACACATGTGCATGCAGCCTGAAAGCGCTTGCTCTTGGATGTGTGTGTGTTGTATGTGTTGATGCAAAAGCACAACTCTCATCTCAAAGAAGATAAGAGATAGTTTATTCTGGAGCTAAATATGAGTGACCATGGCCCCGGAACACAGACTCAGGTAACCCCAAATTCCATGTTCCAATGTGGTAACAGTTTCATGGAGTTTTTATAGTAACAGAACAAGAAAAGTCATAGATTGTGCTGGATAGCTTTAGTTGACAACTTGACACACCTGGGTAGAGGGAGCCTCAATTGGGGAGTTTCCCTCATTGGAGTGACCTGTGGCCACATCTGTGGGGCATTTTCTTCACTGTCAGTGATGTGTGAGGGCCCAGACCACTGTGGGTGGTGTCACTCCTGAGCAGGTGGTTCTGTATTGTATAAGAAAGCAGGTCAAGCATGGGGCAGGGGAGCAAGCCAGTAAGCAGCGTTCCTCTGTGGCCTGTGCATCAGCTCCTGCCTCCAGGTTCCTGCCCTGAGTTCCTACCTTGGACTCTCTCAGTAACGGACTGTGACCCAAATAAACCCTTTCCTCCCTAAGCTGGTATTGGTCAGAGTGTTTTGTCACAGCAATTGAAGACAAACTAGAACATAAACTAAGATGTTTTTCAAGTACATTGGTGGAAACATAAAGTAAGCGGATACAGCAAAAGAGAAATTCTAGCTACAGACTCCAATGCTATCATGATAATCTTTTGATTGGTGGAATCTGGTGGTCTGCTAAGTTATACATTCCAAAAGGTTTTTATCTGTTAGTCACAGGATGTTGTCAGAAACAGAAGTAGGCAAAGAGTGGCTGTTTAGGGGGCTAAAGATGATCCAAGATATATGGTAATTAGGCTTTGGACTTGCAACATTCCAAGCTCTCCACAATCACTGAAGTTCTAATCAACTGATCGGCCTTTTCAGAAGGTTTCGGTTTCAAGATGAAGTTTTTCTAGGAACTTTTTTTTCACACCACATACCTGCTCTAAGCAGCTGAGGTATGGTGGTTACTAAGTTACACTATAGTTACACCTGAATAAACAGTCTGACTCTTGACTTTAGTTTTAAGAGTAGACCAGAGGACTGGAGAGATGGCTTTAGTGGTTAAGAGCACTGGCTGTTTTTGCAGAATTCCAGCACCCACATGACGGCTAACAACTGTTTATAACTCCAGTTCCAGGGGATCCAATGCCCTCTTCTGCCCTCTGCAAGCATTGCACAACACAGGTGCACTTACATACATGAAGGCAATACACTCATACACACAAAATAATAATTTTTTTTTTAAAAGAGTAGACCAGAACTCAGAGGAAACCCATTCTTCCAGATGTCTCCTGGAACTGTGCTCCAGAGCCAGAACTCACCTGTACTTTTATTCAAAACCCTTTCTCTAGCATCAGTTCAGGAACTGCAAGCTTGGATCCACCTTATCTTATCAGACAATCTCTTGCTCTTTGATTCCTAGGCCTAAAATATCTCATATACACAATGCCCATCAGTCCTCGCAATACACAGGCTTCCAGTACTTGATTTGCTAATTCCACCAAATCCACATTCCTTCACTATCTGGGGTGGAGGGCAAAGTGGGTTTCTGAGCAATCAAGGTCAGGTGTCCAGGTCACAAGAGCACATGGCTCAGTGAGCTTGTTTGCTTTGTAAACAGTAGCTTTTTAGTTGCAAGGTTAAGTAAAAGCCATTAGTCCAGATTCTATTGATTTGGTAAAAGTCGGTTCTCCTTTCAGGAGGAAAGAATGGCAGAAGCCTTCTCCAGGAAGCTCACCTGTCCAGATACAAGCTACACCATGGAGCTTCCACCTTGCATCACACGGTCCCTTGACCAGGGGTGCTCTCAGACAGCCAGGGGCTCCCTCAAGCTCAGCATTTGGATTCAATGGACCCTCAGACCCTGCAGTATCGGACAGATACTGCTTTGGGGGGATTCAGTAGCTTTTTTCTTTTTCAGGGGATGAACAATCAGTACGCACGCCGAGAGGTCTTCTGCAGGAACACCTGCCACGAGCTCAAGCGCTTCTGGGAGAGGGAGATCGGCAAGCAGACATGCTACCGCGAGTCCGAGGAGCATCGCCTAGGAAAAAGCGCGCTGAGAAAGTAGGCAGGCTGGTATTTATTTATTTTTATTTTTTGTTTGTTTGTTTGAGACAAGGGTCTCTCTGTAGCCCCAGCTGACCTGGAACTCACTATGTAGACCAGGGCTGGCCTCGATTTCACGGAGATCCACCTGCCTCTGCCTCATGAGTGCTGGGATTAAAGGCATAGGCCACCAGGGCTAGCTTTTTTTTTTATTTTTTTTTAATGATTTCCTTATTTTTATTTTCCATGTGTCTGAGTGTTTCACCTGCATGTATGTAAGCGCACGCATGTCGTGCAAGCCCTGTGGAAGGGCATCGGATCTCCTGGAACTGAAGTTTCCAATGATTGTTAACCTCCATGTGAGTGCTGGGAACTGAACACAGGTCCTTTGAAAGAGCAGCTGGTGCTCTTAACTGCTGAGCCATCTCTCTAGCCCCTATTAATATCTTTTAAATAGACTATTTTTAGAACAATTTTAGGTGCACAACACAACTTGATCAAAAGGTTCAAAGGTTTCCATATACCCTACCTGCCTTTCCCCCATCCACATCTGCAACATCGTACAGGAGACATATTTGTGACATCCATGAGCCTTAGCTGACACATCATTATCACTTTGGTTGTCATTTTGTGATGTAAACATGAACAACTACACTACAGTAACAGAAACCACTGTTGGTCATTTTATAAAAACAAAATGGATTTCCCCAGAATGCCAAATGGATACCTGAAAGGGTGCTTTAATTTTCCATGTACATATCATCCTTTATTTATTTTCTTTGTGAACTGAAGGAGTCTATTCCTTCCATCATATGATGGTTATACTACTTGAGGGAAGCAACAGATATGTCTGGAAAAAGCAACCAGGCAAGAGCTGGGAAAATGGCTTAGTGGGTAAAGTTCAGAGTCCCAACACCCACATAAAAGCCAAGCATGGCAGTGTATGCATATAACCTCAGTGCTGGGGGCCAGAACAGGCAGATCCCGGGGTCTCACTGGCTAGCCAGTTCAACTGAAACTTAGAGATACAGGTTCAGTGAGAGACAATGTCTCAAAATTGCCTGATGTTGACTTCTGGCCTCCACATGTACATGTACAAGCCAGCATAAGCTACCCCCCACCACATACCCCACATGCATACATACATACAAGCTATCAAACAAAGCACACAGTGATCAATTCCCATCAGTCACTTGAATGAAGACATCAGATGCCCTATGTGGCTCTGGGAGGAAGAATGGTTGTCATCTCTCCTGGCTGATACGCAGGCAGGGGTCACAGTCAAGGTGGAACAGTGCCAGTTCCCTACCCTCAAGCATGCTGTGGGAAGGGCCACAGGCTACAAGGATAGACTGGGTTCTCTGCCCCCAAAAAGGAAATAATGGCTCAGTCTTGTTTGCTAAGGTCCCAGCTTGTGGAGGTTAAGGGCACTGTGGGGCAGTGTGTGCTGGCCAGATGACAATATTATTTCGGGGGTGAGAATATACGTTAATTTACGTGTGCTACCCAATCTCAGAGGGAGAGCCTGGCCTGTTCTACCTTATTCTCTACCTGTTCGGCTGGCCGTATATGGTCAGAGCATCTCACCAAGGATTCCCAAAGAAACTGAGCTGGTGGTCAGTCATTCTGCCACCCCTGTCTCCTTCCCTAAGGCCAGGCCCCACTCAATATGCTGTGTACCAAGGACACAGTGAGTCCTGTCCCAGGCACATACCCTGACCAAGGAGAGGGAAGCACGGGACATGGGGGGGTCTCAGATGGTAGAAAACACAGAACTCAAAGGCTCCACCCACCAGCCTCTTTCTGGGACGCGGGGGCTGACCTTTCGTCTTCCTGATCCTTTGCATCCAGACAAACCCAGCTCCTCAGTGCAGTCCCCAGGAGTCCTTGGGGCCTCTTCTCACCCCATCTGTCTTTGCATCTCTGGGTGGCACGGCCACTAGCTGCCCTAGACCAGCATCTTTCCTGGGCCAGGCTCCCAGGCCAGTCCAACCCATAAATTCCTGAGGCCAAAATCGTTCCTGGAGGGATTCAGACCTTAGGAGAAAGCCTGCAGACATTTGACCCTCATCTGAAATGGGCCTCTGTGGGAACTCCTGAAGACAAAAGCAATCCTGCCACACCAATATAAAATCAAAAGAGAGAACCAGAAGCTTAGCCAAACCAGCTTTTCATGCCCAAAAAGTAAACCACAAAGATACATAAAGTTCACAAAAAGAAGCAAACCTGAACTTGAAGACGTGAGTCTCACACAAGAATCAGAAACTACAAAAGAAATTCACATGTCAAAATCACAGAAAAAAAATAATAACATGAAAAACCAAAATAAAATATCCCTACCAAATATCAAGTCATCTAGAGGAGTACAATGAGAACACCC